AGCATGTTTGGTGTGACGGGGATTCGAACCCGCGACCCTCAGATTGCGAGTCGAGTGCCTTAACCACCTGGCCATGGCTGGCCTAAGTAAAAAGTAAAATACTCAGCTTTTCTAGTAGCCTTGTTTACTACGTTTCTCTAAAGAATATCTCGTTTTTTAAACAATATCTACATAATTCTATCTTAACTTATATAATTGAACTCAAATATGAAGCACAGGAATCTACTGGAAATATCTTTTTTTTTTGCATTGTGCTATTCTTGTTATTTCTTCATCCACGACAAGTACCAACTTTTTCTTATAATATTAATTGAATTCATTACTGTGATATCTAAGCTGATAAATTCCAGATGTGTTTTTAGTTATTATTCATCTTAAAATAACACCAGTAAAGTCGAGCGCGTGTTGTTAAAAGTATTATAGAAGATATGAGTCAAGCTAATTTTTCACAAAGATGCTCAAAATGTCTAGGTCAGAGTCAAATGCATAACTGGTAGACTGGATAAATATTTCTCAGTATGAAAGTCACCTTTTTCGCGCAGAATTCAGTATTCTGTTGTAATACTTATTTCAGTGCATTTTCAGAAGACACGGGTTTTTAGCCAGGTCTCTTTCTTCTCACGAGACCCTCATCTACAAAGAAAGGTTTTCATTTTTTACAACAAATAGATAATTCGTTTATAAAAATATTACTTAAATACAAAAATTCTGGCCTATCTCAGTTCAACAGCAGTCCTTATTCATTGAAAACTTGTGTCAGCATGCTATCTTCGTTGATGTAGTTTAATTCTGGTGCACTAATTCGTTTCGCTGGATTTTGCTCTTGCGGGATGTATCTCGCTGTGAAAACCAAAGACATCAGTTGCCATATCAGCGAGATAGAGCGTCCTTTATTCAATCCTTTGGTGCTATTGTTTGGTAGCACTATTCTGACTTAAAAGTAAACAACATCTGCCTTGGATGTGTAAACTGATATCAACAGCTTTCTACTTGCTCTGCGGGCATTGGTTAAATATTTATAATTTTATGTGGATGAAGTCCCTAAGAATTCTGATTTAATGTCATTTTGTTTAGTTTTACCTCTTTCAGATGTTTAGTTTAAAACACGTTTCTTTAAAAATGATCTTAGAAGTATTTTCTGTTACAAAATAAAGCACTTACCCATTCTTCTGGACTATTACGCTGTTCGAACTGAAGCTCTGTTTCTTCTCTGTCAAGCAAAATCGATACGTTCTGTTCTTTCTTTCTGTCTGTAAAGGAAAAATCCATTATTAAACAGAGCATTAGTCTTAGGCGAATTAGCAGATATAATAAATAATCGAAACCACTTTCTCTACCCGTCATTCTTACCTGCGACACAAAGGAATTTTACTGATCCCAAATTGCCCCCAGTGTATAGGCTCATCATACGAAGCTATTCGGGTTTAGATTTTCTATATATATATATAACACGAAAATCTGTGTGTCTTTCTGTTTGTCCATTTTCTAACTACTCCTTGGTCGTTGGGCCAATCTCAACCAAATTTTGTGTTAATGGGGAATTCACAACCCCTCCACCATCATTATTGCTGTTATTGAGTGTATATTAGACGTAAGTTAACATTAACTACATTCATAGATGGTGCCACGTCCTTTCACCAAAAACAAAAAAACTATTAAATCTATCTATATCTATATATAGAGCACAAAACAAATCTGTGTGTCTGTCTGTTTGTTCCTTATCTAACTACTTCTAGATTGCTGGGCCAATCTCAACCAAACTTTGTGGGATGATAGTTTGGAACAAGTGCATGTTAATGGGGGGGGGGGTTCACAATACTTCACACCCATTATTGATGTTATTGCTCATTTATTATTTTTGACGTAAATTGACATTAACTACATTCACAGATAGCACCACGTTCCTACACCAATCAAAAAACTTTATTACATTTACCTCGGTAAATGTAATGTAAAACAGTGGGAAAAACATTAAGAGGTGGGTGTTGCAAGCTGATAACAGAAAGCATCCCTTACTGCCACTACTTTGACCTTTACCTCTTAAATATATAGTGAGTTCTTAAAGCTTATACAAAACTTTTGGTGAGGTAATAATGAATACTGTAATCAGGGGTGAAATTCTAAAAAAAAACAAAAAAGTAGAGGTACTCAGCTGGGTGAAGTGGACCTGTTTTTGAAAAAGAAAACAAAACCTATGTGTAAACATGAAAAACGACAATTTGGGTGTCAATTAGAAAAATACTTTTTGATGGAACAGTGAAACGCATGAGCATCCGAAAAAGCAGCCTTAATAAAAAAAATAAGTTCCGGTACCCCTGACTGTAATAATATGTTATAAATGAATTGTGTGAAAGCTAGAAATTTTGTCTTATTTATCATAGAATTCACCACCGACATTTTTTTAAGTTTATAACCTAAATAAAAGACGAGTACCTCAACTTCTTATGTAATCGCAAAGGAACAGTGACATGAAAACAATCTTCCCGAAGAACTTTATTTTTGTAGTATTCCTAAGATATGCTAAGAACACACACATCTCTTTATTGTATGTAAAAATGTAAGAGAAAGCAGTAAACATAAGTGAGTTTATCGTGGTAATCGGTATCCACAAGAACATAGATTACACAAATATTTTGCTTGCTAATGCTTGTTAATGATTTTTTTTTTAAGATATTAAAGTGAATATAAAAATACGAAATAAGTATTACTATTAGTAATATTAGAAAATACAACGAAGAAACTTACGGTGCAGGACAATTCGGACGAATTCTATCTTATATTAATATAGTTACGTTTCTTGAATTTCTAGACCAGACATGATAAATAATTATGTTTCAACTTTACCAGTTTAATCACAAATTGAAATAAGTAAAGAAGAAACTGTTGAATTATTTATAGTATTTTACAAGATAGGATATAAAGAACAAATACCGATATAGAAACAGTTTGTGAAGTACAATCTGACTAGCTATTTACCATTTAAATTTCTGGAGTCGCTACTTGGAGTGAGATACTCTGACGTCATAAACTGAGAAATTAGGCACGATTTGCCCACATTCTCTGTACCAAGTAGCGCTACATTGTAATGGTCAGGTTGGCTAGCAGTGTAGTACGGAGAGTTAGGACCAACTGAGCAAGCCCTATCTTGGATATCGTCGCTGGAACCGGATGTTTCACTGACATTTGACCGTGACCTGTACCGCACCATGTCTCCCAGGTTCATAACGCCCTTATGGGTGACGCTAAAGCTGCGACAGCGGTAACAGTCGACGGCAGTGTCTTGTCCCATGGATCGGCTAAGTCGTTCGATGAGTCGGTCAGGAATAGTGTTTGCCCGTCGTCTAAACTGTGCCCATGGATCTATGTCACATTCTATCCACGCCGATGACATTCGGCTTCGAGCAGGAGACAAACCTGATTGGGACATAATTCGTGACTGGCAAGGTCCCCGAAGTTCAGTTCTTACACCATGGCTTTTCTTTCGGGCTGATTTCACCCGAGAAGGTCCTTTAAAAGGCGATCTTTCTTTCCTCGAGTAATTAGACGAAGTTGATGCCGGCGTAGGAGACCGATAAAGCTCCCACAAATCTGGGACGCTGTGAGCAAAATGGTTGCCACGATACAGTTGAAGAGTAGAGTTCTGCTGACGTTTATTTGGGACAAGAGTCATCTTTGATCAGAAATGTTCTTCTCGGTGAACCTAAACGAAATATACGATGCTGATTTTCTTATTTGAGATTCACCTGGCGATTGCTGTGGTTGCTCAGACTTTCGCGTAACAGTTGGGTCATCATCACAGTCTTATATATCATACTCAAACCAGCTGTGAAAGACAAGCGATAGAAAGTAGGTCGTGTTACTAGGCTGTATACGCTGAGGCTGAATTACGATTGGTTTCTTTAGTGAAGGAACTATCCAATCAGGTTTGTCAAGCCACGGATATTTCAAAATACTTCTGCTATTAATTTCTAGTGCACTAGCTGACAACGAGTTGTGGATAATTAGTGATTCATAATATCTGTTAAATATACGTAGACAAACATATAATATCTGTTAAATATGTTTAGTTAAACTTATAATATATGTTACATATATGTAGTTAAGCTTAGAATATTTGTTAAGTAGATGTAGTGAAGCTTAGAATATCTGTTAAATAGATGTAGTTAAGCTTAGAATATCTGTTAAATAGATGTAGTTAAGCTTAGAATATTTGTTAAATAGATGTAGTTAAGCTTAGAATATTTGTTAAATAGATGTAGTTAAGCTTAGAATATCTGTTAAATAAATGTAGTTAAGCTTAGAATATTTGTTAAATAGATGTAGTTAAGCTTAGAATATTTGTTAAATAGATGTAGTTAAGCTTAGAATATTTGTTAAATAGATGTAGTTAAGCTTAGATGAAAATTCAAGTTATATTTCTACATCGTTGCACGTTCATTCTTGTCTTTTTTTAGTTTCTGAATGCTAGGACTAGCTCTTTACAATAGTGATTCGTTTTACGCCACGTGAAATAGGTAGTTTTTAAAGCAAAAATTACAGGTTGGTCAGGCAAGCGAAACGACCCCATCTATGTTACGTTCAATTAATATTATCCCTACCCCAAAACTGGTAAGAACGCCCCGATATTCATTAAGAAAAACAACACCATAATAAAACTTATTTTTCACCACAAATATTTTGACTCAACAGTGCTATTGTTAGGCCAAATGGCCCACAGCAAGATGCATATAAAAAAACAAAGGTCTGATATGAATGGCCTGTCCTTCCTTTTTTCTTAGCTATAAAAAACTAGTGTTTCAAGCAGCTGTGTTTCAACGTGTGTATTTTTTCAAACTTTTATTTTAATTGCGTATTGTAATATATTGTTCTTGCTTTATATGTTTTTCAGACTTTGTTTTCTTGTTGCATAGACTATTTCAGATTATCTTTTAAATACATTGTGTTTTTGCATAGCTTAATAGAAGCAAGTAACTAACATTAAGTCATTTTAATCGCTAACTGATAAATAGAAGCAAGTAAGTAACATTAAATTAGATTAATCGCTAGCTGATAAATAGAAGCAAGTAACTAACATTAAGTTAAATTAATCGCTAGCTGATAAATAGAAGCAAGTAACTAACATTAAGTTAAATTAATCGCTAGCTGATAAATAGAAGTTATCAGCTAGCGATTAATTTAACTTAATGTTAGTTACTTGCTTCTATTTATCAGCTAGCGATTAATCTAATTTAATGTTACTTACTTGCTTCTATTTATCAGTTAGCGATTAAAATGACTTAATGTTAGTTACTTGCTTCTATGTATCGGCTAGCAATTAATCTAACTTAATGTTAGTTACTTGCTTCTATTTATCAGCTAGCGATTAATCTAGCTTTATGTTAGCTGCTTGCTTCTATGTATCAGCTAGCGATTAATCTAACTTAATGTTAGTTACTTGCTTCTATTTATCAGCTAGCAATTAATCTAACTTAATGTTAGTTACTTGCTTCTATTTATCAGCTAGAGATTAATCAAATTTAATGTTAGTTACTTGCTTCTATTTATCAGTTAGCGATTAAAATAACTTAATGTTAGTTACTTGCTTCTATGTATCAGCTAGCAATTAATTTAACTTAATGTTAGTTACTTGCTTCTATTTATCAGCTAGCGATTAATTTAACTTAATGTTAGTTACTTGCTTCTATTTATCAGCTAGCGATTAATCTAATTTAATGTTACTTACTTGCTTATATTTATCAGTTAGCGATTAAAATGACTTAATGTTAGTTACTTGTTTCTATGTATCAGCTAGCAATTAATCTAGCTTTATGTTAGCTGCTTGCTTCTATGTATCAGCTAGCGATTAATCTAATTTAATGTTAGTTACTTGCTTCTATTTATCAGCTAGCAATTAATCTAACTTAATGTTAGTTTCTTGCTCTATTTATGAGCTAGTGATTAATCTAGCTTTATGTTAGCTGCTTGCTTCTATATACATATATATATTTAATTTTTTCCCTTTTTTTTCTAATATAAAAGGATAATTATTTTGCTTTTTGTGTTGCACATTCAAAACCTCAATTTCTCTTTCACACCCCATTGGGGTTCCAAAGTCAGTGGAAGAAACTAAGTACTTTTAATGCTTGGAGACGGCTTGAATGGGTAATGAAGAAAAATTTTAATATAAGTTTAACATAACATCAAATTTTGATACCTGATGATGACAAAACCTTGTCGAAACATTGTACATTTGCTATTATGTTAAACTTATATTAAAGTTTTTGATGACAAAACCTTGTCGAAACGTTGCACATTTGCTGTTATGTTAAACTTATATTAAAGTTTTCTTCATTACCCATTCAAGCCGTCTTCAAACATTATTAGTCTCAAAGTGGGTTCCTCGTCATCGAATTTAAACTAAGTACTTTGCTTGTGCTGTGTTCCTTTTTGAGAGCTTTTATTTTGTAACTAGCTGGAGTGAAATAAAAATTCGTTTGTAACAAAGGATAGGAAATTGTGCTTCTATTTTTTTTTCTCTTAACCTAATAAACATTAAATGTAACATGTAACATTAAAATTTCAATAAAATACATAAAAGCACCAATACTGAAAAGAAAGACATACTCTTTTCAAGAATACAATATGAAATTAGATGGGGGGTAAACCCCCCTGTGGCTTTCCTCATGTCATCCTGTATCACTGTGTCAAGTTGTGCTGATTTGGTAGTTTTCCGAAATTATATATGGAATTAGATGTGGGTTCTACCCCCACCTCCTCCTCATGACCTTCCTCATGTCTGTTTGTTTGTTTTTGAATTTCGCGCAAAGCTACACGAGGGCTATCTGCGCTAGCCGTCCCTAATTTAGCAGTGTAAGACTAGAGGGAAGGCAGCTAGTCATCACCACCCACCGCCAACTCTTGGGCTACTCTTTTACCAACGAATAGTGGGATTGACCAACACATTATAACGCCCCCACGGCTGAAAGGGCGAGCATGTTTGGTGGGATGCGGATTCGAACCCGCGACCCTCAGATTGTGAGTCGAGTGCCTTATCCACCTGGCCATGCCGGGCTTCCTCATGTCATCCTGTATCACTGTGTCAAATTTGGTGCTGATTAATCAAGAAATGTGTAAACGTACAAAGAACAGATACACGCACATATTGACGTTTTTTATATAGAAGAATGGGGTCTAACCCCACCTCTTTCATGACCTTCCTCATGTCATCCTACATCACTCATATTCACGTTTATTTATATCGAAGATGGGGGGGGGGGGTCCAACCCTTCATGACTTTCCTCATGTTATCATATATCACTGTGTAAAGTTTGGTGCTGATTGATAAAAAAAATATGGCAACGTATGAGGAACATATATGAAATGATGGATATAAGACCGTGTATTTTCTTCCTGGACACGCACTTTGTATAATAGATGCATAGAGATTTTCGTATAAGACAGCTTGAAGTTTGTGTGCTGAATTTCGCGAAAAGCTACTCGATTAGTCTCTGAGCTTGCCGATAAAGTAGATTAAATTCAATTTAAATGGGAACGAGCAATCAAAAAGAGGAACTATTATAAGAGAAAAAATGGAATTGGAATCATGTAACTTACGAAATTCGAAGAAATTGAGCGTGACCGACCGACACTTGTCTTTTATATATATTGATATTTAACAATATTACCAATAACACCTCATGATGCTCTGCTGTATATTTAAAACAGCGAATATCTCGACAATAAAGAAAGAACACACTGACACAAAACGTATATATTAAAGCTTAGGTAGAGCAACAGTTGTTAAATAAAATATCTTTAAATGTTATATGGATATATGTCAGTGCATTGTTGTCACTGTCGTGAGTTTGGAAATATCCCTTCTTCGTTTATTAATACTGATAGGACGAGGTACATCGATTAGTTTTTAGAGAACCAACTTAGATTGATAATGTCAACTACTACATATTTCTGATTCAAACAGTTACATCGTGGATAAATATAGTAAACAAGTTCAGAAGGCTTACTCGATGAGGTGGAGAGGTTAGAGTGCCGTTACCATAGCAACACTGTCACAAATAATTTCATTACATGCTTCAGTTAAGTGGAAGCGAAAGACAATTTTCCATTTTTTTTTAAATAGGGTTTTGGCACGACAAGACACGAAGTACTTGGGGAACATACAAGATTAACAATAAGTGAAACGTACAGGACTAACAATAAGTGGAACATATAAGATTAACAATAAGTGGCACATACAAGACTAACAGTAAGTGAAACATACAAGATTAACAATAAGTAAAATATAAAAGACTAACAGTAAATGAAACATACAAGACTAACAGTAAGTGAAACATACAAGACTAACAATAAGTGAAACGTACAAGACTAACAATAAGTGGAACATATAAAATTAACAATAAATGAAACGTACAAGACTAACAATAAGTGGAACATATAAGAATAACAATAAGTGAAACGTACAAGACTAACAATAAGTGGAACATATAAGAATAACAATAAGTGAAACGTACAAGACTAACAATAAGTGGAACATATAAGATTAACAATAAGTGGCACATACAAGACTAACAGTAAGTGAAACATACAAGATTAACAATAAGTGAAATATACAAGACTAACAGTAAATGAAACATACAAGACTAACAGTAAGTGAAACATACAAGACTAACAGTAAGTGAAACATAAAAGACTAACAATAAGTGAAGTATACAAGACTAACAGTAAATGAAACATACAAGACTAACAATAAGTGACACATACAAGACTAACAATAAATGAAACATACAAGACTAACAATAAGTGACACATACAAGACTAACAGT